ACAGTTTTTGCATAAATGACTTGCCCGTTAATAGGATATAAAGACAAGATGGCAAGTGAACTAAAAACTCTTAACTGGTTACCAATTAAAACAGTATTCCCAAGAAAACTTTTTTTGTTGTTGGAAATATTTTGATTAAAGAAAATCAGTTTATTAAGAAATACTGCAAGTGTTATGTTAGAAGCACCCAGCGACGTTACTGAAACACCCCATTTATAGGATATTGGGATTAAAACATAACCGAAAAAAGAATCCTGAAGGATTTCCAATATATTTCGGCAACATAAACGTAACCCATAACAACAGTGACCCATACAGACTTCATAAAATATCCACACCCTTTACTTTTGTTTATTCGTTCAGCATTTGATTCTTGATCTGTTGCTCCCACTGCTGGCTGATAGCAGAACATCAATGAGAAGAATACGGTGATGGATGGGGTGGAGGAGGTGAGCAGCGGAGAGGACGACACGTTCCTCGTGCAGGTTCATGATGTTTCTCCTGAGCAGCCTCACACGGTCATCAAAGCCCTGCGTTACAGCACCGCCCAGGACATCATCCAGCAGGTCAGAAGGTCACTGCAACTTCACTGAAAGAATTCTTCTCTGTCATGCTAATATCACGATATCTAAGCTGCTGTTGTCTGTCGTAGACTCTGAGCAAAGCAAAGTACTCTCTGAGCATCCTGAGCAACCCTAACCCATGTGACTACGTCCTGATGGAGGAGGTTACTAAAGACGCGGGTGGAAAGAAATCATCCTCGGCTAAACCGTGTCAGCGTGTGCTGCAGGACCACGAGTTTGTGTTCCAGGCTCAGAGCCGCTGGAAGGGTGCTGGGAAGTTCATCCTCAAACTCAAAGAGCAGGTAAACACTTATTCATGTGAGGCTGAAGGCCTATAATGTTTTAAAACATTATGTTTTAGTATGTTAAAAGCATATTTTTTTTTCGTGAACTGTCCCTCAGATCGCTCGTGAGGACAAGCGCAAGGGCGTGTCTTTTGCCAGCGAGCTACGGAAGCTGACGGGTCGGAGTCGGAGCTTGACTGTGAACACGAACATGAACGGTCCAGCGGCTCAGGAGCCGACACACATTAAGGAAGAGAAGGCTGCATGTCCCAGCATGGTGCCTCTGCCAGAGGCCTCGGAGTGAAGGAGCGCTCTGCAGTGTGTGTGTGCAGTGCATGGAGCTCCCACAAGGTACTAGACACTAACACACAGCAGACATTAATATTATACAGTCAGTCTGAACTTGTAGTTAGTCCAAAAATGAAAATTTGATGAAACTGTGCTCATCCATACAGTGTGATTTTGTTAATCGGAACATTTTTTGAGAAATGTAGCATTCCATCACTTGCTCACCAAAGGATCCTCTGCAGTGAATGGGTGCCGTCAGAATGAGAGTCCAAACAGCTGATAAAAACATCACAATAATCCACACCACTCCAGTCCATCAGTTAACATCTTGTGAAGAGAAAAGCTGCATGTTTGTAAAAAATGGACTCTCATTCTGACGGCACCCATTCACTGCAGAAGGATCCATTGGTGAGAAAGAGATGTAATGCTACATTTCTCAAAAAATCTGTTAGGATTTTTGGGTGAACTTTTCCTTTAATGGTATGATTTAGTCAAGGTTAGATTTTTGTGTGGTATCCCAAATGCTAGTTGAGCAGAGCTACCTGATGTTTAATGTAAAGGGTTTGCTGTTTTTTAACTGTGTTATTAACTGAGCATCATGTCTTTAGCAGTGAAAACATGATTAATGGCATGTAATAGTTAATAGACCTCAATCAGGGTTGACACCATACACAATTTGCTGCAAATGAATATGAGCCTGTTAAGGACTATGGTGTTTGTCATTCAGTCAGAAAAAAAGGTGTTTTTTGTTTTGTTTTGCAAATTTATGGCTTGTGAAAATTAGACAAAACCTTAGGAGCTTAGGTACAACATCTGAAAAGACTGCATGCGTGTTCCTCGCAGCCTCGCGTTCATTCATGTCAGCTGACTGAAGACTGGAGCAACGATGCTGAAAATTCAGCTTTGCATCACAGGAATAAATTACATTTCAAAATGTATTAAAACAGAAAACAGTTCATTTAAATTGTAATAATATTTTACAATATTACTGTTTTTGATCAAATAAGTGCAGCCTTGCTGAGCATGAGAGACATCAATAAAAACATTTAACAATCTTAGCAACCTCAAACCTTTGAACAGTAGTGTAATAATAAAATAGTTACCATGTAATAAAAATATATTTTTTTAATTAAGAAAATTCATTAAACAGTAATGAAACAAAACATCTCTACAAACACCTTCACTCTGCGTCAGAAATATTGTGATAATGTTTTTTTTTTCTTTTCATTGGAAAAACTGAAAATTCAGGCTCATCGTGAAGAGTTGAGGTGCTGGAAGAATGAATGTTCCCGTCGGTCTCTTTTCAGGTTCTCTGTCGATGGGGCTGAAGGGCTGGATGGCTTGGGTTCTCAGAGACTGTGTGCGGTAAAGTGTGGTGATCGCACCCCTGTCCCGTCCACCGGGACCCTCCCGCTGCTGTGGAACTGGAAGCTGCATAAATGAGTCCAGACCCAGAGCAGCACCGCTAGTGTTCACTACTCTCACGTGAGTGAGATACAGTCCAGCCTGATGGAGAGCGGACGGCGTTTGAGCTCGTCCCGTGCAGAACACGATGGCCTGGGTGAGTTAGGCTTGCTGAGGGGTCGAGGATAGGTTTAGTCAGTTCAGCATGTTACTGAATATACTTCTCCTTTTTAAAGAGTACTGTAAGTGATGAATGCGTTTATATGCATTTCATTTTTTATTTGTGGTTTTGCACATTAGTCCAGATATTTTGAAAGCTTTTTTAAATACTTTATTTACATCCTTTTGGATTGCTGAAATTAAATCAAGCATAAAAATGCTCCCAGCACATTAGTGTAACACAGTCTTTTTGTTTTTTGACTTCCAAACCTTGAGTTCTTTTATGAATGTAAATATGGCGTGATTTAGAGTTCAGAGCAAATGTGCACAAGATGTTGAGAAAGATGCAAGACAGATTTGTTCTGCATATTTTAGCAGCTAATTGTATTTGATTGCTTTCATTGCACATGTCCTGCACTGCATTTTTATGACCAACAGCAAAAAATGCAAGATGTTGAGGGGTACCTTTCTATAAACTGCCACGAATCTATTTACAGTATTACAAAAACAAGCATTTGAAGAAACATCACAATGTTTTTTTATATTTTATAAATGTATATATGTTACTGATTTATTTCTTTATTTTCAAAATTTTTTTGGAGTATTTATATCAATTTAGTTTCTTGCATTTATGGAGAGCTGAAGATCTTCACTGGCACTGTAATGCTTGTTTTGGAATATTTTAATTTAAAATCAATACAGTTTAGAGGTTTATATCCCATTTGACCTTTGTAATTGAATGCCAGTTTTCTTTTTGTGTTCGATTAAATGTTGCTATTATATATACACATGTGATTCTAAACTCACTGCATAGCAGTTGAATCACCTAAAGCAGACCTGCAGTTCTTTTGCTTTTAAGTGGTCCATTTTCTTTCTTGAAGTGAAATCTTTCCTAATTTATTGAACATTATAGCCCAGGTTGGCTGTACTTTTCCAGATGTGTACATGAGTACATAATTATGAAATCTGCATTAATTTATTTGTGAGGGCATGAATGTTCCTCCAGCCTGTTTGTACTGCATTAATGTATGTTTGTAATTTAGATCTTTAGCACCGGAATGTAGGATCTCTCACCGTCTTGAGAGAGATTCAATATTTTGACATTTAAGTGGTGAATGTAGGCACCATTGAAGTGCACTTTGTGTGGTCCACTACAGCGGTATATCCTTTAATATCGTTTCAGTGTATATTTACCATTGCTTTGTTTTGAACAAGCAAATGTTTAGTGTGACACGATGCTGTTATTTTAGTTCATTGATAGTTAATCTAAAACTTCTGTCTGTTTGGAGTTTAAAACATGTCGAACTTTCTATTAGTGATGGTTTTCAGCACACGTAAAACTCTAGGAATGTATCATCAATATTTTGATGTAAATCTTGGGTTGTTTACTCGAAACCATCGATTCAACCACATTCATCAATAAACTGTTGAGAAATCCATGTTTGGTGAAACGGATACTTTTACATCACTGCCAGTAAAGACATTGCTGGTATCTTATTTTACACAAATGGATACACAACAGCATTTCAGCTCTTAATTTACATTCATTCATGTGTCCTGCTGTGTGTGTTGTGATGTGAATTCTAGACTCGTCTGCTCGCTCCCGTTTTGAAGAGCAGCATCAATCTGCGTCTTCAGCTCAGCTAAATTGTCAGTAAAGACATTGCTGGTATTTTACACAAATGGATACACAACAGCATTTCAGCTCTTAATTTACATTCATTCATGTGTCCTGCTGTGTGTGTTGTGATGTGAAGTCTAGACTCGTCTGCTCGCTCCCGTTTTGAAGAGCAGCATCAATCTGCGTCTTCAGCTCAGAATCTGAAAACACATCACCGATTGTGAAATGTTCCTGCAACACAAGAGGACAAAATATTTAGAAAATAAAACTAACAACAGAAATGTTTAAAGCATTGTTAGTTAGATGGAAACGGAGACCTTTTTCTTTAAGGGAGGCCCTGCTACAGGAGGACTGAAGGTCATGTCTTTAACACTGGAGTCCTGCAGAAATACAACGAAATATTGCAATACCTTAAAAAAACAAAAAAATCAAAATGAGCCAATGAAAAGAGGCTGTTGTGTCTGTACTTTCTGCTGAGCTCCATGCTGAGAGCACCTGAACCTTCACTAGGGGCACCTTTCATCAGATGAGCAGCAAACTTCCTCACCGGGGGGTTAAAGTGTCTCTCAAAGAACAACCACAGATCACAGCCTCTTACTTTAGTTTGGTTCATATTTTGATTTCATTTTTCTATTTTGTTTTCACTTTCAGTTAAAGCTTTAGAGTTGGTTTTTTTTAAATATCTATACAGTTTTTTATTTATTAGTTTTAGTTATTTTAGTATTTCAAGTAAAAATTTTAAATAAGAAATGTTGCCTTGGCAGCTAGCC